AAGATATAAATAAAATGGTTTGAAAAAGATCCATTAAGAATAATAAAATAAAATTTAACTAAGGCTGCATGTGTATAAATTTAAAAAATGGAAATAACGGTTTAAAGATTATTATTATTGAGTAATTTACGAAAATGGAAATCGACTGCAAAAAAATTCAATTTCCTTGCAAGTCATTCTTGTAAATTCTTGTAAATTCTTATAGGAAAAGTCATTTCAGTTAGTGCATTTGGAATTTCTAAAAAAATTCTAGATTTCATATTACATTTAAAATCCGTTATAATGAATTTTACCCATTTAATTAGTATTACTTTCAAAATTACACGTAATATATGAAGTGTTCAATACCAATTTTGGGAGGCTATTTTTAAGACTCAGAGCGATTCGAATTCAAAAACTGGGCTCAAATCAAACCGAATTTTTAAAATTGATATTATATTTTAAAAATTTTAAGGCAAATGCAGATAAACCTCATTTCAACGAATATATGGACACACCAGAGAATTGTATTTAAACTACGTTTCAACGAAATTTATATTGAAGCCAAAATTTTAAAAGTTCATTGTAACGCGAATTTAATTTCTGAAACAAAGACGCTGAGAATACATACAAGATCACATGACATTAATAACTCCGAAATTAAAATTTTAATATATAACCTTGTTACAACAAACATTTTATCTTAATGGCTAAATTACTATTAAGGCCATCAGTTTATTTGCAATTAAAAAAATCACTGCGCAACAGGTATTTTTTACATAGTAAATTTTAATATCAAGTGTACACAACTTTGCGTGTGCATTATTGGTGGTCCAGAATTTCATTGGATCGATTTATTTATTATGTCTTAGTTAGTATGTATTTATCCGAATCATGATTCATCGGATTAATTTACAGTCAAAGCTCGTTATAGTGGACCCTTGGTTCCATATGTAATTTTTCTCTTTTTTTCCACTATAACGAAATTTTATTATGTTTTCCACTATATCGAGCGGAATTAATTAGCATTGGAAACAAAAAAGATCCACTATAATGAGATTTTATTATGTGTCCACTATAACGAGATCCACTATAACGAGCTTTGACTGTAGTTAAATATAAATAAAAATA